GTTTCGGGTTTCAGGCTTGAGGGTTCGGGTTTTGGGGTTCAGGGTTTAGGGTTTAGGTAAACCAACCATGATTTCCCTATAGACGTCCTTCAAAGGCTAGGTGTGCCGCAAACCATATTATATACGGTTATTCTCCCCTCTGGTATGTATAGCCCTTATCTACTGAAGAAGCCTTATATGATCAGATCCCAGATCTGGGGGTTTCCGAAAATAGGGGGCCCCAATGTAGTAGCCCTAGATAGTCGGATCCTTTGTAGCGATACCAAAATAAGGCACCCTCCTTTTCGGAAACTGAGATATGATCAAGGTACCCGAAACCCTAAACCCTAATTTTCAGATATGCTCAACCCTAAACCCTAAACCCTAATCCGTAATTAAAGGGCTTGGGGAATCCCGGAGTCGCACCGCATGGGTTTTTAGGGTTTAGGGGCTTAGGAGCTTAGGGCTTTAGGGGCTTCGGGTTTAGGGGCTGGGGTTTAGGGTTTAGGCTTTAGGGCTTAGGGTTTAGGGCTTATTGTTCAGAGAAGTTCAGGGTTTTAGGGTTCAGGGGTTTAGGGTCTTTGTGGCTCCGAAGTTATAAGCTGCTTGAGGGTTTTGGGTTTAGGTGTTCAGGATTTCGGGTGTAGGGAACCCTAAACCCTAAACCCTAAACCCTAAACCCTAAATCCTAAACAGGGGGTTTAGGGCTTAGGCTTTGCCAAGGCCTAGGCCTCGCAGTTCCGGGTCCTGGAGGTTTGAGCTTCTACAATCCCTAAACCCTCAAAGCCCTAAAAGCCCTAAACCCTAAAAGCCCTAAAAGCCTTAAACCCTTAAAGCCCAAAAAGGCTCAAACCCTAAACCGTGGGTTCTGTGGTTTTTGGATGTCGGGTTGTTGGTTGTAGTAGGGTTGAGGGCACCTGCAAACAATATCAACAAACCTGGTCTGAAATCACCGGCTTTGGGGTGTAGGCTTTAGGTTTTGGGGTTAAGTTTAGGGTTTAAGGTTTAAGTTTTAAAGTTAAGTTTCTAAGTTTAGGGTTTAGGGTTTAGGTTGTAGGGTCAAGTTTAGGGCTTAGGTTTTAGGGCTAAGTTTTTATCAGGTTTAAGATTAAGGCCCGAATCAGAAACAAGCATCGGCTTGAACCTCAGATTGAAGCTTTTCCTCAACAAACCCACCTCCGACGCCACGTCACTTTTGATGTTAAAGGGGTACTATATCGGACCCCGAGAGCCCCGACCCCAAACCCCAACCAAGGACTCAGAGTTTGGGGTTTGGGTCCCTAAGCCCTAAAAACCAAAACCCCAACTAGGTCTTCGAGTTTAGGGTTTAGGGTCCGTAGATCCTGAAACCCTATAACCCAAACTGGGAGAGTTTAGGGTTTAGGGCTCCCTCAATCCTGAAACCCTATAACCCAAACTAGGTCTTAGAGTTTAGGGTTTAGGGCTCCCTCAATGCTGAGACCCTATAAGCCTTCAAGCCGAAATCCTGGAACCCTGAGCCAAAACGAGTCTCCGAGGTGCTTATGACGTTTGGAGCAAGCTTCGACGTCGGCATGGCCTTCAGCAAATGGAGGCTCCACTCCCAAGCCGTTGACTTCTCGCAGGAGCCTCTGTTAGAGTTTTTTAGGGGTTTAGGGTTTAGGGTTTAACTTAGGGTTTGGGGTTTAGAACTCAGGGTTTAGGGTTTAGGGTTTAGCGTTTAGGGTTTGAGGGTTGAGGGTTTAGAGTTTACACTGAGGGTCCATGTACCCAAATACATCCCCGGGCCGACAGTTTCGAGCTCCATATGTATGATTTAAAGTACAGGCTCTTGCGTAACTTCTACCCCGTTTTAAGAATATCATACTTTTTAGTTCCGGAGGAGGCCCCAGCAGGGCTCACATTTGTTAGGAGTCTATGGGGAAGAGGGTCTGTAGCATGTTCAAGCTAGTGGGTCGAACTATCGGCCCGGCGCAGTAGCGTATGCCGTGGCTCTGAAAGTGGTCCCCTTCTAGGTACACTGGGCTCCAAGTCTATACTACTTGGGCACATGGGCCTTAGGGTTAGGCTTTTGAGTTTAGGGTTTAGGATTTGGGGCTTTGGGCTTTGGGCTCCTTGACCCACAAGCCAAGTCGGATTCGTGAAAGTTTGGGGCTTACGGTTTGGGTTCCTATAAACCCCACACCCTGAATCGGCAGTCTTGAGGCGTTGAAGGTGTCAGGGTATGAGTATACGAGATAGAATGGCCGTATCTCAACTCTCTGCTGTTGGGATTCCTTTTGCAAGTTCTGCCTCTTCGGGCCTTTCAGGATCTGGACTAAGGCCTTTGAAAAGGAGGCCAACCTTCCTTTCAACGACCCTTCCTAAATTCCCACGAATCCCGCCTCCAGCCCCGTGCCGCAGCCCCAAATTGTAAATTGCATCTCCGACTGAAAAGTGTTCAACAAAGCTTTGGGCTGCATGGCTGTCGTGCTTCAACTGCGAGCACCGTTGGGAGGCTCACAAATTCAAGCAGGTTGTCCATGCTGTTTTGTGACCTCAGACTTTGACCACCCCCCCCCCCACCCTCCCACCCAAGCACTTCAAGGCTTGCGGTTTACGTCTCATGGTCCAGGGTTTAGGGTTTTGTGTTTACCTGCTGCTGTGGAAGCACGAGTTTAATTTGCTCCGAGAGGGCCCCAGGATTAGGGCTTAGGCCTTCAGTTGCAGAGTAACCTGACTGTCCCAGAACATCCGACAGAACTCCCAAAGGCACAGCCAGAACCTGTAAACCCTAAAACCCTAAACTTTAAACCCTAAACCCCTAAACCCCTGAACCCAAACCCCAAACCCTAAACCCTAAACCCCTTAACCATAAACCC